GGACATTCCTGAAGTAAAGAAATAAAACCTGGCAGGCAAAGTTCCAGTTCTCTTAGTCAGTGTCCCCAGCTCTGTTTTCCTCCAGGTTAGATCCATCCTGAGCAAACCGTGCTCCCAAACCCATCAGAGCGTCTCGTCCTCGACCCCTGTCTGTTACTCTCCATGCTTTGTGGCCTCCATCAGGAGGGCCGTTCTGCTCTCCAGCACTGTCTTAGATGACAAGGGCATTCTGCAGAAGGCATTAGGTCAAGAGATTTTGACATGGGGAGGTCATCCTGGGTGGACTTGGAGTCTTAGTTAGAGGGTCCTAATTAGGGTCAGAATCCAAGGAGACATGGTGGTGTTATAGGAGGCTGGTGACAATGAATGAAGCAGAGGCTGGAATCGTACGGCTGTCTCCCTCCGTGTTCTGTTGCTGTAACTGGGTAATCTATAAAGAGCAGAGATCTATTTTTACAGTTCTGGGGGTTGGGAGGTCCCATGCCTGGGGCGAGCATCTGGCCAGGGGTTTCTTGCTGTTATCATCGCCACAGTGGAGAATGTCACACGAGAGGAAGCATGCTGAGAACGTGGCTGACAGACAGAAAGCAAGCTCTCACGAGAATTAACCCACTCCCAAGGCAACTGCAGCAACATATTCACAAGGGCTGAGCTCTCATAATTCAATTGCTTCTCAGAAGTCCACCTCTCTGGGGCTGGGATTAAGTTTCCAGTACAAAGCTTCCAGGAGACGTTCAAACCGTAGCTTAGTCAAGAGCCAAGAAATACAGGCTGCCTCTTGAACGTGGGGAAGGCAAGGGTTCTGTCCTAGGGCTCCTAGAAAGGTCCTAGTCCTGCCTACCCATGACCCATTCACAGACTTTAGCCCTCAAGAATTTGAGGTCACAATGATGTGTTATTTCAAGCTACTGTGTAAGTGCTAATTTGCTATTGCAGAGACAGGAAACCAACGGCCATTGAGTGAGTTTCTACTGGCCTATTGCATTGTAGTGGTGATGGTTGTTTTTGTTTTTGTGATAGGGTCTCCCTATGTAGCCTGGCTAGCCTTGAACTCTTCAAATTCCTGCAAAGCAGGGATTATGATCCGGGTTTTTATATTTAGATTAGAGAGTCATAGAGACAATGACTTTTTTACTGTTTGTTTGTTTGCTTGGTTGGTTGGGACTAGATCTATGTAGCTCTGGCTGGCCTGGAACTCTACGTAAACCAGGCTAGTCTCATACTCATAGATATTTTCCTGCCTCTGCCTCCTGAGTGCTAGGATTAAACATTTGCATCGTCATTCTTGGCCCTGGAGACAATGGTTTTGTTTTAGGTGTTTTCTGTACTCATCTGATGACTTTGAATCTCTGTAATGAATCTACGCAGCTTAACACGTGATGGGATTCTGTCTCCAGACCATCCCACAGTTTATGTCAGGCTCTAAGACAAGTGTCAGATGTTTCTAATTTTCCACAGCAACGACCATCCTCATTATGTTAGTCAGGCAAACCTAAGAGAAAGCTTTGAGGTAGATGGCCTCATTGGGCTTACGCTTTGAGGAGTTTCAGTTCCTGGCTTGGCGTCTCCATTGTTCCCGGGCTGTGATGAGGAAGAGCTTGGGCAGGGTGTGTACTAGGGCAGGGTTGCTCACCTGCTGTGGGGCCAGAAGCAGGGAGAGTGACAGGAAGGGGCCAAGGACGAGGCATCCTGCAAAGGCAAAGGCACACCCCCTCGTGACCTACTTTTTCCAGGTTCCCTCTGCCTCCTAAAGTTTCCACTAACTCCCAAAATAGCACCGTCAGCTGAGAGCCAAGCTTTCAACACACATGCCTACCAGGCACGTTCATGTTCCAGCTCTAACACTTGTATGTGTTTCTGTATACATGTGTCTTCCCGTAGCACATAGACACACAAAGTCCACTAGAGTATCTAGAATTTTCAGATGACAGATTTGCTCCACCCTCCAGATTGTAGAGCCAATTTCAAAATGCTCAGCATGTGTGCACACATGACAGGGATAACCAGGAGAGGGACAGGACGCAGGTGACACAGAGGAAGAAAGCTTTCTTGCTGACCTTGGTTCCTCGATATTTGCTTTTTCTACAGGCATGCATTACCATACTTAAAAATCTACCCTGGCATTTTTGCCCACTAAAGATTGAAAAAAGTCTTCAAGCTAAATACAAGCATGGTTTTATTTGGCTTACATGGTGTTTTAAAAATATGGAAACAGTGATATCAGATAATTAGGATCTATAATCCAGAATTACAACTTCTCTTGAAAAATGGAAAATTTGAAAATACTTCACCTGCATTTTCATGTGCTAACCACTGGGCAAGTTGGGCTGATTCTTGTTTGTTTTGCTTTGTTTCTCTGTTTTAAGTTTTATATATGAGACTGTTTTGTCTGCATGTATGTCTGTGTACCAGGTACATGCCCTGGGCCCATAGAGGCCAGAAGAGGGTGTTGGATCCCCTGGGACTGAGGTTACAGATGGTTGTGAGCAGCTGTGTGGGTTTGGGGAATTGAAGTCTGGTCCTCTGGAATAACAGCTGGTATTCTTAGTGGCTGAGCCATGTTTCCAGCCCAGGGGCTGTTATCTTTAACAGAACAAATGTTTGCATGTCCTGTCACAGTCTCATTGTTTGCTTTTCTTAATGCTGTGACCAGGTACCTTCAGAAAAGCAACTTAAGAGGTGGCCATGATGACACATGCCTATAACTCTCACATTCTCGAGGGTGTAGCACGGGGGTCAATCAAGGTCATTCTCAGCGTGGTCTACATGAGACTCTGTCTTCAAACAAACAAACAGAAGACAAACAAAAAGGACCCAAGAGAGGAAGGGTTCATCTGGGCTCATGGCTCTTTTGTGGTGAGCAAGGCATGAACCCTTACAGCTGGGGCAGAAGGAGCACGAAGAAGCCAGTGACACTGGGTTGATGGTCAGTTAGCAAGGAGAAGAGGGAGCCAGGGGTGGTATATAACCCTCAAGGCCTGGCCTCCTGGGACCTACTTCCTCCAGAGAGGCCCTATCTTCTGAGGGTTCTACAACCCTCCCAAATAGCGCCACCATCTGGAGACCTAGAGTTCAAACAGATGAGCCCGTGGAGGATATTCCACACCCAAACCTAATGGTCGCAGTTTCTCTAGTGGCTTACACTTAGTCTGTCTCCCGGTCTCCTGCAGCATTTGAGATTTTCATTCCAGCAAGGGCTGCCAACTAAGCAATAATTCCTACGCCTGAATTTTAATTTCAGATAGCAAAGATTCTAGGTGTAAATATGTCCCAAATATTGCTGATTAGTGTATATCTTTATCTAATGTTAAATCTGGAAGTTCTAGATTTATTTTCTTTTATGTTTACAAGTGTTTTGCCTGCATGTATGCATATGTATCACACGTATGTCTGTGCCTGTTGAGGTTAGAAGAGGCATCGGACTCCCCAAAGCTGTAGTTAAATATGGTTGTGTGTGGTGATGTCTTACTTGTACAGATAAAACTTGTCTGAAGATCAGAGGGTGGAGCTTGCCACTAGCTAACGATAGAGGTCTGTATAGACAGACAGGAAGTGAGATGGCCGGGTGGAAACAGGAAGTGAGATGAATGGGCAGAGACAGGAAGTGAGATGGCTGGGCAGAGACAGGAAGTGAGATGAATGGGCAGAGAGAGGATATAAGCGGGAAGGAACAGGAACTCTCTCTCTTTTCCTCTGGGAAGCTAATGAGGTGAAGGTGACTTTGGCTTGCTCCTTCTTCTCTCTGGGCTCTCAGCATTTTCCTCTCTATCTGACTCGGGGTTTCTATTATTTAGACCAATTAAGAACAATTAAGAACTCCTTTTACAGTTGTGAGCCATTGTGGAGGTATTGGAATCAAATCCAGCCCCCCTCAAGAACAGCAAGTGCTGTTAGACACTGAGCCTTCTTTCCAGTCTCTAAATCTAGAAACTCTAACTCCAGGTCCAGCTTTTACAGCCTGGCCTCCCCTACCCCAACTCCATCCCCCATTTCTGTTTCCCTCCAGTCCTATGCTCTGTCAGCCAAATCCCTGCAGACTGTGTTTACATACTTCCTGTCTGGGAGGTTCTGCCCCTGCTCTTCTTCAGCTACTCAACGCTACATTGTCTCCCCTCGAAAACAAATTGAAGCTCTGGGCTCCAAGGAAAGATTCTCTGCTTGGACCCCGCCACACTCCCTACCCCCACTGCTCTGTGGGTAACATTCATTTCATCTTCAGCAACCTCATTTCTCTTTTAGAAAATTTAAAGATTTATTTCACTTCCAGATTTGTTTTAAATTATTTTATGCGTAGCTGTTTTTGCCTGCATATATATCTGTGCACCCCTTGTACACACCACCTCTAGGAGGCCAGAAGAAGACATTGGGTCCCTGGAACTGGAGTAACAGTTGTTAGACACAGTTTGGGTGCTAGCAATCGATCCTGGGTCCTCTGGAAGAGCAGTGCACTTAACCACTGTGCCGTCTCCCCAGACATTATTTTACTTTCAATCGTGTATGTGTATGTGTGTTTGTGTATGTCCGTGTACATTTGAGCACATGAATGCAGATGCATACGGAGGTCCCAGGTATCGGATCCACTGAAGTTAGTCAGTTGTGAGCCACGTGGTGTGGGTGCTGGGGATTGAACTCAGGCCCTCTGCAGACTCAGCAAGTGCTCTTAACCACTTTGAAGCACAGCACTGTCATTTGCCTGTAGGGCTGCTTCAGCTGGCTCATAATCACGACCTCACAGCCACTGCCACGTGCCTCATCTGTTTGTGTGTGGGAGGCAGTCCATAAGAGTCCCTGTCATTCCCAAACTTGTCAATTCAGATAGCTACAGGGGCTGGGGAGACGGATCCCCCCCTCAAGGGCACTCACTGCTCTTTCAGACATTTCTGTTCCCAGCACCAGGTGCCGGGAGGTTCATGGCAACCCCGGCTCCAGCACATCCAACGCTCTCTTCTGGCCCCATACATGCATAGACATACACACAGACAGATGGACATAAATTAGAAACAAAATATATCATAAAGACAAGCTCACATACACATGAATCAGAAAACAACCTTTGAAAATTAAAAATAAATTAGCCAACTAACGGAGCTCAGATTCCTATAACAAAATGCCATTACTTGGGTGTTTCTAGAGGAGAGGCTGACATGCTGTCAGCTTTAGTGTTTGATGTGGGATCTCTCTTTCATAGATGTTGTGTCCTGGCCTGCTGGAAGGGAAGAATAGACTTGCTTAGGCCTGTTTTACAAGGAGGTCCTCCCGGGGGAGTCTACTCCCATGACTTCGGCCAATAAGTAAGTCCCAACGATCTCACCTCTTAGCTCCACCATGGGAGGAGGGATTTCAAGACACAGATTGGAGAAGGGAGAGGGGAGACACAGTCGTTCAATCCCTGGCAGCAAAGTTTACTAAAGCTCATGATTCTATGGATTAGGCAGATGTCTGTGGTCTGGACTGGTTTGGTTGGGTGGGGACCAGGTAGTGGAGGATGGCTTCATCCATGTCTGGGGTCTCGTATAACTGGAGCCTCTTGTTCTCGGGGAGGCATGCTTGTTCCCACAATGGCAAAGTGTCCTCCCCAGCAGCAGCTCTGCCTCTGGTACGTATGTCATCTTCACGTTGATCAGAGGTCAGCATGGCCAGGCTCCCCGGGGAGGGAAGTAGAGTCTGCTGCTTGTGGGGTAGAGGGAGATCTCTTCGCCAAGGAACATGTATTCAGGGAGGCCGTTACTGAAACCATCCAATACAGACAGGGGTGAGCATCCTGCTTCCCACGGACTTACACGTTCAACCCTCATCTCTGCATGCCGTTCTATCTAGGACGTATACAAGCCCCGCCCCTATGCAAGCCCCGCCCCTTTCCTTTGGAACTGGCTTCTGCTTAGAAAGCTCCTCCCATCTCCTTTGAAGTCTGATTATGGCATTTCCTTTAGGTCTCCTCCTAAAATCCCTTCCTGGGGGAGCCTTTGCTGGCCTTCCCAGTCAGTGTCCCGAGTTCCACACCGGATCTCCTGCAGCTGCCTTCCCGGCTGTCAAGAACACTTTGCGTAACCGTTTGTCACCTCTGTCACGGAAGTCTATCCTGTCCTCAGCGTCCAGCCCGACACCTAGCACACAGCAGGGGCTTGGTGCCAGGGTGGCCAGGAGGAGAGGGCATACGGGGCGGGAGGTGGGACGCACGAATGACCTGGGGAATACACTCGCCACGGAAAAGGCCCGTGTAGAGCCTCGCGGAGTGCAAGGCTCGGGATGCTGAGACCCGCCGGGGATCGTACAAAAACAGCTGCTGTACAAAACAGTACCGGAACTTGAACGTGAGGTGCCAGGTGCTAACCATGACGAAGCAGCGGGTGGGGGTGTCAAGCAGGGGTCAGGATAGCAAGGGGTCACAGACTTCACACAGGGTCCAGGAGAAGAGGAGCAGTTTGGAGCCAATGAGGTTGGAGGAGCCATGGCCAAGACGTGGTGAGATCCTCTGTAGCTCCCATTATGATTACGACGGTGTCCTCGAAGCCGATCGGTCCAGGAGAGAAGGGCAGGAGAGTCAGTGGAGGTCCAGAAGAGACATCGCTGCCATCACCAAAACACTAGAGAAAACGGGGGTCAATGGGGGCAGCTTGTTTAGAGACCTAAGGTCTGCTCGGTGATTCTAGAAACAAGTTCATTCTCTCTGTGCATCCCTCCCTCTCTCTCTCTCTCTCTCTCTCTCTCTCTCTCTGTGTCTGTCTCTGTCTCTGTCTCTCTCTCTGTGTGTGTGTCTCTCTCTGCCTCTCTCTATCTCTCCCTCTCTCTCTGTCTCTCTCTCTCTCCCCTCCCCCTCTCTCTCTGTGCCTCTTTCTCCTTCCCTCTCCCTCCCCCACCAGCACACATCAAATAGAGACCACAAGGCTCCCATTGCCAACACCAGCCAGCTCTGAATCTCTCTTTTTGAAAGCTTTAGACAATGTCATGATTCCCTAACTGCTCCAATCTGCATCTCTAAGATAGGCAAGGGCCTTTTCTCATAGAACACAGTATCTTTTCCACACCTAAGAAAAGTAAAACGTGATTATTTCAATGTCCTTTATTACCTATCATATATTCAAAATCTCTAATTTCCAAAAAGAAATAGTCTTTAATAGTTCATTTATTTGAAGAAAGAGCTGAACAAGTTCCACACATGCTTTAGTGATCTCTCCCTCTCTTTGATACAGGGTCTGATTAACCCAGCCTGGCCTTGAACTCATAGTAACCCCCCGCTCACCAGAGCTGAGGTTACAGATATGAGCCTCCACCCTGAGGATGGGCCTCTCAAGCCTTGTATAATGTAAACTGTGGATGTTCCTTTTTAAAAAAATTTAGATTATTTTATGTATGTGGGTAGTTTATCTGCATGTGTATGTATATGTAGTAGGTGTGCCTAGTGCCTGGGGAGGTTACAAAGGGGTGTTGGGTCCTTGTAACTAAATTTACGGATGTTTGTGAGCCTGGGAACTGAACCCGTGTCCTCTGTAAGAACCATTGGCTATCTTAACCTCTGAGCCATCTCTGCAGCTCATGGGTGTCTTTTTTAAGTCATGCCCTTTCTACTGACAACCTGCCTCCCTTCACAGCCTTCATCTCACCCTCACAAGTCCAGGGAGCTGCAGATTAAGAGTGAAATCAACATGGGGGAGGGGTGGTGTAAGCGTCTGAGCCCCCAGAACCTACGAAGAGAGCAAGCTGTAATCAGCTCTAGGAGAAACAGATTAGAGCAAGAGATTTAGGAACTGGGGTTGACCCACACACTCTCTTAACTCCTAAGAATGCCAAGAATTTACCAAGATTATGAAAGGTGGATGCCTGTGGGAAAGAGAGGGAGAGCTAGGAAGAGGAAACTGAGACAAATCGTATCAGCAGCACAGAAGCTCAGGCAGGACCAGCTAGCTCCCTAATGACAGCTCAGTGCAAAGTTAAAAGCCCAAAGCCCTTGCTCAAAAATGGTTAGAAATTTCAAGACGACAACCACAAAGCATGAGGCCCTGAGGAACACAGAGACCAATGCACCATCACACACACACACACACACACACACACGCACGCACGCACGCACGCACGCACGCACGCACGCACACACACACACACACACACACACACACACACACACACCTGGCACTATACATAGACAGCCAAGCCAGGAGGCCCCCAGGCAAATGTCCTACAAGGGGATGCTTCCACAAACACCTGTTTCATTTACATTTTAGACATAAGCAAAGGAGGGAATCCTTCCCACACCTGGGGTGGGAGGCTATGACTACCTCATGCTTGCCAGGACACTCAGCAGTGGCGAATGGCTTTCAGGAAGCCCAAGGGTTAGTTAACCAGGCACTCGCCAACGAGAGATGGCATCACATCACCGTGGGTGTTCGCCAGGTCTTCTGAGAAAGATCTGAATACTTTTGCGAGGGTTCCAGCAACATGACCCAAACACCAACCAATGGGCCCTGTCTCCCCACGCTGCAACACTGAGGGTTTAGGGACCAACACACAGACTTCCAGGGGAACGTACTCCCGAGAGCTGACAGGTAGTCCCTGCATGTCCAAGACTGCTCTTCCTGGGAGAGCCTGTCCCTCCAGCAGCTTGTACTGACCTCATTCAGTGTGTGGTGAGCTCCTCCCTGAGCAGGCACTTTGTATGGACAGAGCTAGCAGATGTGAGCCTCCTCCTGCTGGAGTGACTCCTAGTGCTCACACAGCACCTGTAATGACAGACCTGCCCAAGTCTGGGCCAGGCCCCGGGTCCAAGTCTGTAGCCAAGGTAAACTTTCAGTTCCTCAGTGTGGTTTGACTTTAGGTTCCAATTCCAGGTTCCCAGTGTGCTTTGTATATTCTGCTTGGAGCAATCCCCGGACATTTCACCTCCTATCACCCGACCCAGACACCACCAGCCTGATCGCCAGTGCTTGCTGCTGGAACCCCAAAATGCTGTTAGCTGTGTGAGCATCTAGAGGTGGGTTTGGGCGACCTTAGCAGTGGCTTTGTCACAGTGGTCTCCCCAGGTTGCCTACTCGTCCATCTCTCCGGTAACCAATCCCTGGCCTTGCTTTGCTGTCCTCAGTGCTTACCCATTGCTCGAAGCTGTGCCGGTGCATGGACCTAGATTCCCGACCGACCGACACTCAGCAAGGATTACAGATGTGGCTGCCAAGGCTTTGGGAGCCTTCACGTCAGGATGACGGAGAATCCCACCTCTTTCCTACTGGGAACAAAGCCCTTGGCCTCCTCCCAGGGTCTTTTTTTTTTTTTTTTTTTTGGTTTTTCGAGACAGGGTTTCTCTGTGGCTTTGGAGGCTGTCCTGGAACTTGCTTGGTAGTCCAGGCTGGTCTCGAATTTACAGAGATCTGCCTGCCTCTGCCTCCCGAGTACTGGGATTAAAGACATGCGCCACCAACGCCCGGCTTCCTCCCAGGGTCTTTAAGGGACAGTTTGTGCAAGGATGGTCTTGGACTAGGCGTGAGGAGGGTTGCTGGAGGAAGGCACCCGCTGCTTGCCTGGTGGGTCTGACCCTAGGGTTCCGTCCTATCTGAGAGCTGGGAATCCTGCCGGGCAAACAGCCTTCCCAACTAATGACTCCAGAAAGATAGACACTTCACGTAGCTGAGCATAAGGTGACAGAAGGCCAGGGAAGAGGGTTTTTCATTGTTTTTTTTTTTTTTAATGTATCTTTCTCCTCTCCCGGGTCTGCATTTTAGAATTTCTGAAACGCTGTTGGGGATGGGGTATGTGTGTGTGGGCGGTGTGTATCTCCAATGTCATGTTGAAAGATCCAGCGTAGACAATGTTTCCCTTCAGGGCCACCAGGTTAGAGCCACAGGCCTCGGTGATGGGTGTCATTGTGTCTCTGTCTCTTTCCTGTTGCTGTGACAAGATACCTGAAAAGAACTGCTTTTTTTTTTTGGTTTTTACGAGACAGGGTTTCTCTGTATTGTTTCGGAGCCTATCGGTCCAGCCCGGCCTCGAACTCACAGAGACCCGCCTGCCTCTGCCTCCCGAGTGCTGGGATTAAAGGCGTGTGCCACCACCGCCCGGCTAACTGCTTTTTTTTTTTTTAAGTTTACTAAACCAACAGTTTATTCTGGCTCACAGCTTAGGGTTCCGTCTATCAGGGCAGGGGCGTCGAAGCAGCAGCAGGCTGGCTTTCTCCAGTTTAGACATCCCAGGATGCCCTGCCCAGGGAGTGGTCTCCCCACATCGGTGAACTAAAGACAATCCTCCACAAGCGTGTCCAGAGGCCCATCTTTCACGCTGACAACTGACATTAACCTCACACACCCAATGGCAAAGAGTCAGGCTCCACAGGGCTCCCCCTGAGGACCTGGGAGGACTTCAGCTAGGAAGCTGGGGTTGCCTCTGAACCCTTCAGTCCTTCTAGAGGAGAACGGAGCCCGACCTGTGAGGAGGTCAAGCAGAAGAATCGCGGATGGGGGAGGTGCCCAGGGTACCAGGCCAGGGCCTTTCAGTCCACAGGCCATTATGTCCCTGCATCTCCCAAATGTACCAGGCCCATCTTACAAAGACTCCAGGCCTCTGAGTGAGGTACACGTGGAGTAACTCTTTAGGCTTACATTTTTTCCCCTGTAAACTAAGAAATTCAAAAGCAAATAATGTTGATACCTTAATGACATTTACATCAATAGCTAATTAATGACAAATTAATTAGTCAACATCCCCTAAGCCACCAGAGGTTCATGAAAGGGGGAAGACAGCTTAAAAGGCATTGACTTCAGCAAGACAAAAATTTCAAGCCCTAGGGGGGAAAAAAAAATATATATATATATATATATATATATTTAGTCTAGTGAGACAGAATGATTCCAAAGCAGTAGAATGTGCCTTCCGGGCTGTTAAATTCAGCCCACAAAAGCACCTACTGGGTGCTAGGCACTATGTGAAGGATGGAGAACAACAGGATGAGCACTCCAGGTCAAGGCAGTTAGACAGCAGACATAGAGATGGTTCAGGCCCCTCTGAAAAATGTGATCCCTCTGTGTATGGCTGGGCAGGGCCGTAAGCAGGGGCGAGGTGAGGGTGCCTGGAGGTGGTAAACTCTGGATACACTGCACTGAAGATATGCTGTCTGCGTCTATCCTTTTTTTAAAATTAGTCTAACAGGGTAAGGCTGGAGGGCTGGAGGGCAAGGCAGGAGCTGGGAGGGAGGGAGGGCCGTTTCCACCCGCAGGCAGGAAGCTGAGAGAAGATGGCCTTAGGGCCCATTGCTCCCTTGCTCTTCAGGCCAGGATCCCCCGCTCACGGGCCGTGCTTCCCCACACTCAGGGTAGATCTTCCTTTCTCAGTTCAGCCTCCCGGAAAACGAGAAGCCCTTCACAGACACAGCCAGAGGCACGCTCCCGTGGAGACGGATTCTAAATCCAGTCGCGGTGACAGTGAGGATGAGCCACCACAGACGGCTACCCAGAAGGCACCACCAATAAAGGCCTGGAATGAGATGAGTGAGAGCTCAGGGGGGTCTGGGGACAGGCGAGGGACACCCATGGGAGTGACAACAGGGGAGCCTTGGCCAAGTGGGAAGGACTCGGGTCAGCTGGGTCTGGGGGGGGGCCGTATCCAGCGTGCATTTCATCTCGTCCTGCTGAGAGGAAGCCAGAATTAGTGTAGACAAGAGAGGAGCCAAGGGTGCTGGTCTTCCAGAGAGACTGACCCTTGGGAGAAGGGGGCCAGAGGAGAGGATGGTGGGCTAGTTGGGGGCAGATGGTGGGTTAGTTAGGGGAGGATGATGGGTTAGTTGGGAAAAGATGATGGGTTAGTTAGGGGAGCATGGTGGGTTAGGAAAGAATGGCAGGTTAGTTAGGGGAGAATGATGGTTTAGTTAGGTGAGGATGGTAGGTTACTTGAGTTAGCTGAAGAAGGAGGGGTTAGTTGAGGACAGCAGAGACTTTTAAACATAGATATGTTAGCAGCAGCTCAAGTCAAAGCTATGTAGTGACAAGCAAGACTGAAGGAGGGAGATCATTTGGGGACAGGGAGACCTTTATGAAGAATGTCCCCCGAAGCCATTTCTTTTAACAGACACTTTCCCCTCTACTTCCCCCCCCCCAGCACTTCCGTTTTAAGACAGGTAAAATGGCTGTCATCTCTGTAACTCTGAGGTTGAGGGAAGTTTCCTTTTACCTCTGTCAGGGATGGAGTCTATGTAGATGGCATCGTCAGTGACTTTGACTCTTGTCTGGTTTCCTTTTGGATTTTGAGACCGGGTGTGTCTATGTAGCCCTCAGGTGGGCTCTGCCTCTGCCCCCCCCCCCCAATGCTGGGATCACAAACATCTGGCTTCACAAACAGTTCAATTTTTCATCTTCTGTGATTAGCTTCCGAGGAGCCCCCTTAGGCTGCAGCAATGGGGGAGGTCTGTAATTGTAGCAATCCAGTGAGTTCTCTGGAAATGTTTGAGATCTGGTGGTAGGAGTATTTGCTCAAAGGAACAAGCATCAAGTTCCACATGGGGGGGTGGGGGGCGTTCCTCAGCCGGCTGCAAGAATGCCCAGCAACCTCTCTCACTGGGTCAGCCAACCTCCCAAAGGGTCTGTGAGAGAACACTGTCCCCGTAGGAGAAGCTGACTGTCAGAAAAGGCCACCGAGGGGTGACCTCTGCTCCAATGCCCAGTCCCCAGGAGAGCGCTCACATCTTTCTGACTCCTTACACAATTTCTCCGGTTCTTGCATACCAAGTGAAGCACAGCTTGACCCTGGGTGACTGCACGATGAGCCTGTCCCAGACGGCCAGAGCTTGAGCTTTGCCCTGGGCGTGGGATGATTAGTCAAGAGGCCAGAGCAGAGGCCAACGAAGGTCATGGTCTTGGGTGAAATTCCTACAAAGGCCAACTGGCGAGTCACAACCCGCCCTCTGCTCTCTCTCTTCAGGTGGCAAAGGGGACCAGGGGAAAAGGTGTGGGCAGCTAGCGTAGGGTAGCCCAGCCCACTGTCTGAAACTGCACCTGCGTGTCCTGGATGGTGGGTCCGTAAAGGGGCCTCAGACACGAAGAGGCCTTGGTGATTGAGCAACATTTTGAATGAGACAACACAGAAAGGAAAAGAAAAGAAAAATTCTGGTGACATGGAAGAGTGGGAAGGGGAAGAGGGTGACGGGGTGAAAATGACCGAGTATACTGTGCACATATATGGGCATGTCACGAGGAAAGCATTAGCATGTAAAGACAGTATGTGCTAATACAGCACTTACACAGGGAGCTGGAGAGACGGCTCGGTGGTGGAGAGCACTGGCTGCTCTCGAGGAGGCCCTGGGTTTGGTTCCCAGCACCCACGTGGTAGTTCACAATTATCGGTGACTCCGGTTCCAGGGAACCCAATGTCTGCTTTGAGCCTTTTCAGGCATGCGGTACACAGAACATACATGCAGGAAAACACTCATACATATAAAATAAAAATAGCCGGGAGGTGGTGGCGCACGTCTTTAATCCTGGCATTTGGGAAGCAGAGGCACGGGATCTCTGTGAGTTGGAGACCAGCCTGGTCTACAAGAGCTAGTTTCAGGACAGGCTCCAAAGCTACAGGGAAACACTGTCTTGAAAAAAAATTTAAATTAAAAATAATTAAATAAGTAAATAAATATACAAGTCTTTTAAAAGTTAAAAAGACACACATACACACACACACACACACACACACACACACAAGATTCCAGTGCTCAGGAAGCAGAGATAGGAGGATTTCTGTGAGTTCAAGGCAGCCTGGTCAACATAGTAGACTGCAGGTCAGGTGGGGACAAATAGAGAGACCTTATCTTAAGAACAAACAAACAAACAAACAAAAGAAAATTGTGAGACATGGAAGGGAAAGGATTCCCTCTTCCAGAAACTCATCACCTGAGAAGCCAGAATATCCACACAGGTATAATCTTGCTATGAAGGTGACAACATAGCCATGGTGTCCTTCCACACATAGATCATCTTTGTGAAAATAACAGTGACTATCAGGCTCATGGCCCTGGGTAAGGCCCCACTGCTTTCCCAGATGTGTTCTGGAAATTTCACACAGGGTTAATGACTTCATTTACAGTGGAGAGAGTCTACCTTCCGGTGACCCTCCCTTATCCACTCCAGTCTTGCCTAGTGGCCTCAGGGTCCACCCTGCGGTCTCTTTTAGGCTTCTTAGCAACCCTTTGAAGGTAACAGTGGAGTGTGACTCTCTCTGAGCTCCGCAGCTGTGGTGAAGACAGTGTGACTCTCTCAGACAGTGGCGTGTGACTCTCTCTGAGCACTCAGAGGCTCCCTAGCCTCTCCTCAGATGCAGTCTCCCTCATAAGCAAGTGCTTACAGTCTTCACCGTCTTAGCAAACTTAAAACTGGCCCACCCTGAAATCCTTTCCAGCGCTGAAACCAAGGATCCGGTTTTACCTGAGACTAGTTTCCTAAAGATTATAAGAGAACTGCTCAGGCCACTGCTGGTGACAACGTGGAACCGTCTCTCTGTGCCTGCCACCGCTGGTAGGAAGAAACAAAGGGGCCAACTTTCAGCTGTGACATTGTGGTGTGGAACAGTCCTGGTGGATGCAACCCTCCTGCTAACAGAAAAGCCATTCTGTCTCCTGCCGAGCTCAGAAAACGGCTCAATTTGCCTCTGAGCTGCGTAGGTCCACGGGGCCAAGCCCCTTCCCCTCCTCACAGCGTCTTCCCACACTTTCCCTCACGCACCCTTTCTTTCCCGGCAGCCACTAGGGGTTTCTTCTTCCTGTCTCTGCAGAAAGGCTTTTGTGATAGTTGCTCTGTACTCGCAGACTGCCCTTCGCCACAATGGACTCCGTCACGAGGATTTAAGTGGACATTAACTTTCAAGGTTTTCCTGAGCCACAGAGGGTGGCAGTTAACAGCAGATAATGCACAGCCGGATCAAGGCCTGACCGGGTCTGGCCCTGCCAGCTCCCAGAGTGTGACTTGGGATGAACTTCTCCACCTTACCAGGCTTCAGTTCCCGTTCTGTAAAGGAAAGCCCTTCCATATTCGCGGCTGTGTTGCTATGGGGACCGAAGGAGAAAATGAGTATTTGCATTCAGTATCACCAGGCCTATGATAAGTGTTATCTGCAATGGTTTCTCTGCCGGCGGACAGACGGAAGGCTTTGCTCACGTGTAATGGCCTTTGTATAACAGCTTGCAAGTAGAGAGAATGGTTTCTTTCGGCTTTGTCTAGTCTTTTTGTTAATGTTGTTTTGTCTGTTGGGGCAGAGTCTTGCTACGTAGCTCAGGCTGTCCCGGAACTAGAGGTCCTCCATTCCTCAAATTCCCAAACTCTGAGATTACAGATGTGGGCTACCATGTCCAGAAAATTTTCTCATGAAAAATTTCAGATGTGCAAAAAAAAAAAAACTGTATAAATGACACTCTTACACCTTGCTCAGATGGTATGATTGCCTGCATTTTATCATAAACATCCAGTTTCTAAACTATTTCAGTGTGAGGAATCAACTGAAACACATGACCATGCTAGCCTCAAACTCAGAGATTTGCCTGCCTCTGCCTCCCAAGTGCTGGGATTGAAGGTGTGCACCACCACCACCACCACCCAATGAGGTACACACCTTTAATACCCGCACTCTAGAGGCAGAGGCAGACGGATGTCTGTGAGTTTGAGGCCAGCATGGCCTACATAAGGAGGTCCAAGACAGCTAGGGTTGCATACGGAGAACCTGTCCTGGGGAGGGGAGGGGGAGTGACAGTGATTGTAGGTCTTGTCAAGCTGATTGTTAAGGCAGACTGTAGATATCTTCATCCCACAAGGCAAGCTGTAGACACCTCCTTTCCACGCCATCTCCTTCCTGCTTCCCTGCCGGAGTCCTGCCTGGGCTCCCTCAGACTCTGCTAACTTTCATACTTGACCCCTGTCTCTGAGACAAGATGGGGTCCGAGTAGGAGCCAGGACTGCGTGGTCTCTTCCTCCAGCCACACTCGTCACCCTAACAGTTGACTCCCACGTGATTCTACACGCAACAATGACATTCCCGAGCACACAGGGAACCGAGAGTGATGAGCGCGCTGTTGAGAGGGTTGGCCACCTGAAGTGGGGGTGTGCTCCACTGGGCACAGAGGATGCTCACCAGCAGACCTTTCTCAAAAGAAAAAGAAATTGAAACGCTAGAGGGAATGCATGCACGGAGCCCTGGGTTATCTGTGAGGCAGCCTGGCTAATTCTCATTCCTGGCTAACCTCACCGCCATTTCCCTGTCACCTCTCCTTACCCAGATGTTGGCTTCTAGTCAAGATACACACCGCCATTTAATTATTAATCCGGGTAAAACATTGCTAGGGAGTTTCACTGTGGCGTTTCTATGCACTGCACACCACAGATACTTGCTTGACAATCTGGCTTTCTTGCTCCTCTGCGGGTTTTTCTGGGCTTCAGTCTCTCTCCATTTGTGGAGAGGACCATAAAGTTATCATCGCCAGGGAGCTAATTGCTTAGAACCTTTTGGTTCTCTTCCTTGAAGGTGTTTGGAAGGGTTTTGGC